CCTCCCTTTTTCAAAAAAGTGTCAAACGAGTAAGTAACTTTTTGTTTCAATAAATTTATAATATTTTTCATATATCTACAAGGTATCCATGTTCCAGAAGGAACACGAACAACGTCGAAGACGTAAAAGTAAAGCTCAGTTTTTCGAGATGATCCAAGAAATTCGAAGGTAAAACTAAAGAATCTAAGAAATTATTTACATGCTTTGGTGACCTAACTTAACAAGAATAACATTTTAATTTTACAGAGTTCAACAAGAGGAAAAAATAGAAACTGTATCAGAAGAGCAGGAAAAGATATCCACTATCAAGAAAGAAGAGAAACTTGTAAAGGGAAGAGAACGAAGCAAAAGCAAGAGTCCTTTAATGCCTCGAAGTCCAAAAAGATCAGAGAAGAGTAGAAGTTCGACCAATTTATCAAGCTCTAGATTAGGATTATCTCCTATCAGTTTGGAGGCTCCTATGAAACCCAGAGAGTTTACTCTAAGTAGTACCAATTTAAGAGCGAGAAGTCCTCTTGAAACGGTGGGCCGTCGTTTGAGTCATGGAGATGGTGGATCACCACCACCACGTTTAGGTTCTCATTTCGGAGGTAGTGCAACATTAAGACCTTTAGCTCCGACAAAAAGTGATTCCACCGGTAGTACAACGCCAACGATTAAAGGTGAATCGACTGGAGGAGGTGCACCTACACCTAGGTATGCCAGAAGTCCGGCAAAACGAGGACAATCGTTTCCAGTGTTCGCTACCTTAAGACCACCACATTCTTCTACCTATCATATGTCCAAGAGTCCATTGTTATCGCCGAATAACGAGTTAACTTCGGCAATAGGGAGAAAGCTATCTCGTGAATGGGGCTCAGGAACGATAGACATCAGTAGATCCTCAGAAGCGGTGGCCAGTGGTTCCACTTACACATTAAATCAAGAAATGACATTGTCTCTTGAACGGCCATCACACGAGAAGATCCAGGATGATACTTTGCCCATTAAGAAGCCTATAAGAAGAGCAAGAAGCCACGAAAACAGAGATACTGGCAAGCTGATGGCCGATTTACCATCACCAAGACTTACCGCTCAACCGGTAGTGGGAGGCCGATCGGTAAGCGAACGAACGAAAAAGCAATTAGAATCTGAATTGAAAGCGATTTTAAGTGCTAGAGCTCATCATCGCGATTTGCATCCTCCTTGATAGACAACAGACTATGTCATTTAATTCAATAAAAAAAGGGAGAGAGAAAGAAAGAAAGAATTCTTACAAAAGTGAATCTTAAAAGCTTCAAAAATCGTTGCCTCTGAGGGGCTTTGATCGATTTAAGCAATATCAGATTTATAGGTCAATTTGTAGAGGAAAAATCAGACAAACAGTCAAACAAAAAAAAGATATATATAAACGAAAAAATATATACATAGACACAGTGTCTTCGGAAGTATTTAAAATGTAACACAAGAAAGAGATTCTCCCATAAAGAAAAACGAAATCTCTTTATCTGTTCATGTTGTTACATACATTGATAATACTGATAGAGTATGTTGATTAAAAAAAAAAACGGAAAAAAAAGTGCTATAAAACTTTAGTAGATTGTCTCTAATAAGTAGCGACTTAAATGAGTAACTGAAATATTTTCTTGTTGGCATTTTAAACTCTACAGATGTTGTCGGTCTGAGCGAGTCTCTCTTTAAATTATAATACGATTATTAGACGTCGTACACTGCCGTATTTCTCGACTTCGTTTTAATCATTTGTAGATGATTCATCAACTTTTTTCAGTTTGCTATTTGAAAGAAATATAATGAAGATTTAAATGTTCGTATAAAAGAATGATGAATATTAAAATGAGAAGAATTAACGTTGAATAAACTTAAGTGAAAAATAAGAAACATTGGTTTATGAAATTTCACTGACTCGCATACTGCCATATACCTTTTAATAATTCTCTCATGGAGAGGGAGAGACTCGCTCATAGAATTCTCAACATAGAATGACCATTTACTAAAAGAAAAAAACACATAATCTTATTAAAAATATTATCTTATTCAGAAAAAAAAGAATGAATAATAAATATTTAAAGGCGGATGAAATTTTAATCAGATGAATCTTTTTTACCGATTGCTGGTATGTCATTATATAGAATTAAATTCTATTAACAAATATTTAATGATGATCGTATGCACGCATCAATCATTCTATTTGTAATTTCATTCATTGGTAATGGAAAAATCATACGTTTACTATGCAATACCCTTCATCCTATTATTGTTATTATTATTATTATTATTATTATTATTATTATTAATCATTGAACATATTCAGAAATTGCACGTATGCATCGTTGGATCATCGGAATTGAACATACACATACATATGCACTCTCTGTTATTTTTTCTTTTTTATTTTCTAGAAAAACTGAAAATAGACTAATGTCCTTTCAATTTAATCCCAACTATCCTAACTTAGACTTTTAGAATGAATGTGTGGGACTAAATTAATTCAAAATAATTGATGAGCGAGGCCTTAGGAGTAGTCGATCCGCCCAATTCTTTACTTATGAATATAGCATTTAATCGTATTACTGAGCAATTCGCTATATAATTATAAATTATACATAGAAAATAGCGATTTAGTTTCATAGTTTCTCGTTAGGCATTGTATTTGACATTCATAATTGAAATTCCTGAAAATTTAATGAGGTAGACTCTCATGAATGCATGTTAGATCCCTGAAATTCAAAAATACATTTAAATAAATTCAAATTATACGTCAGAGATTCAATAAGTCAACAAAGTTGTTTGATGATTAATTACATACATTTAAATCTTCATTCTGCTGCATGATAACAAATAATCATTATGATTGAAAGTGTCCTAACTATTGCATTTGTTTCACTGTTTAAATAATTATCATCATTTATATGTTATGCTTATCATTTTTTTAACTAACAGATTTTTGAGAGTATCTCATATGTGATGATGAAAGAAAACTATTATTATTATATTAAAAATGATAAAATTAATTTCCATAATTTTTTTAATTGAATTAATAATGAAAAAAAAGCGATTGTCTTGCTTACAACAGCAAATTCAGGAATTAATCAAAATACAAATATAGGGGGCCAGTTTAGAGTCACCCAGCTAGCCTAACTAAATCAAAGATAGACTTATTAAATTAATTAATAGCTATAAAATTCTTTAATATGTGGGTTCCACCAGTAATTTGGTTCAGTAGTGATATATTCATTTTTTTCGATTGATATCTAAATGATATATTCATTTGCTTCAATATATATAAAAATAAGAGAAAAAAGAAAGAGAGAAAGCTGTCTTCTGAAAGTCCTTGTACATATGTGTCTTCTACTCTAGATACCTGAAGAGGCATTATTGCACTGAATTAAAGGTCGAGCCCCCTATTTCATTGTGCGCCAACAAGAACCTATATAATTTGAACATCTTATGGAAAGATCAGAGCAAAAATTATTTGTAATTTTATCTTTATTACAATTTAAAAATTATTACATGTAATAATCACAAAAACTGAATCGGCCTATTTAATATAAGAAAAATATATTTTATTTTTTGGTTAAATTATATGAAAATTTATAAATCTTTTCATGCTCTTTTCTTTCCATTTCTTAAATTAATATCATGAAATGTTCTCTTTCATCTATAAATTCCATAATATAAAATAATAAATTTTAAAATTGAAACATTCAAAAATTCGAACTTTGAAGAAATAAAAATAATAAATTTATTATTTAATGATAAATCTAAAATAAATTTTTACAATTTTACAGTTCTTAAGAATAATTAATATCATAATAGCTTTAATATGTTATTTCTATATTTTATGGCAATAAAATTATTCCACATTATAGAACACTGCCATAATTTTAAATATTATATTGATTAAATAATTTAAAAATAATTTAAAAATTTTGTCAAATGTTATATTAGATTGTAATTATATTATATTATTATATTAGATTGTAATGTCTTAACATATACATATTCTTTAGATGTTTTTTAAAAATTTTGAAAATTTCTCAACGAAGTTCGAATTTTTCGAAGTTCGATATTATATCACAAATAAATCAAGAAAAAAAATTTTTTTTTCCTTTAAATTTACAACAAAATATTAATCAATATAATTATGAGAACATTTCTAATATAAAATAGAGAATATTAATAATAAAAAATTTTCATTGAATTCTATGCATAAAAAATATCTTAATTCACAGAACAAAGTTCCTATTATCTTTGAAATTTATTTTTTCAATAATACTATAAAATAGAACTTTGTATGCTGTGAAAATCTAATAATAAATTTCTTGAATGCATAGAATACAATGTTAAAAATCTGAAGGCTCAATATATTTTTCATTTAGCTTATATAAATAACTTTTTAATGAAATGTAACACATAAATTCTTATAAAAAATTAAATATTATTTTAATATTATTAATCTTTTAATAGATATCAGGATTTAAAAATTTATTTCTAAATTACGTTACAATAAAGTTACACACATTATAACTTAAGTATAATATGCGTAACTTTAAGGAAACGGACTAGTATTATAAAATTATAAAGAAAATTATAAAGAAAATTACACATTGTAGTAGTTGTAATACATTACAGAGATTTTGTCGACGGTGACTTGTTGGCGTACGGTATTAGGTTAGGTTCCTCGTAACCTACCTCGTCTCTCTTGTTACGCCTACTATTATACTGTTATTGTTGAAAACTCCATATTAATAAGAAATAAATATATTGTCTCAAAATAAACATCATTCTTATTATGAGAATTTGGTGAGATTCTCTTAATCTTATCAATTCCTAATCATTAATTTACAATCCCTTAATTTTTATTATAATATTAAATTAATTCATAAAAAAAAATGTACAAATATATAATGTAATTATATTTATAATTTTTCCCATATTATTTTTAATAATATTTTTAATTTATCAATTTCGTGAAATTGATAATAATATAATTTGCAAATACATACACATAACCTAATATATTTAAAACATATTAAACGATTCCTAAATAACAAAATGCTAGCCAAAAAAAAATTACCGGACGTATTGGATCAAAGGTGCGTAAATGGTCTTAAAAGTAGAAACCGAAGTGAGTAGCTAAATGCTCGATCATCAAAGCAAAATAAGTGCAAGTCATTCACGTCATCTACGATCACATCACAATCACGAGTGTTAATTCACGGCCGAACTTTCGCTTGTGTTTGTTTCGTATGTAGTTCCGTGTAGTACCCAATGCTTAGACAATCTAGACATTACTTTCTTATTACCTTATTATCTTGGCAAGACTGAACTGTTAGCGATTATAGTGACATATAAATATTATTGTTAATTTTTTCCCAAACTTTGCACTGTTACTTCACTGTTTGCCGTTTGAATTTTCGCTGTTCACACATGTAAAAAATTAATATACGAATTATGAAAATAGATACTATAATACACATTTTTCATTGAGAAGCCCATTGAAAGCAATAGAAAACAAGTTGTTCTTATCAGTTCTTAAACAATGTGTTAAAATAAGCATATACAACAAATATTGAAAACTGTGCATGATTATTGATACATTGATGCTTTTGATTTTGAGCAAAGATATAATTGTCAATACAAGATTTCAACACGTGCGAATGATAATTTGGTGGAACTAATATCAACATTGCAATAATTAATATTCATCTCGTACCTACGTCATCAAGTATTGTTATTAAATTATCCGATAAATAGCATTTTCGAATTATGATTATTTAGTTGCATTTCTTTTCCCCTTGTTAATTTTATTTTATATCGAGAATATTATTAGAATTGTTAACTTCTTCCGTAATTTGTGATTCTTTGTTCTACCAAAGATTCTTCGATCTTTTCAGTAAGTATAACTAGTATTTTGTTTATAATTTATATAAAATTTTTATTTATCTTTTGTTGATAAATTTAATTTTTTCATAGGTTATTTTAATGGATGAAGAAGACTGTTATATGAAAAAAGAAGCTCAAGGTAGCTTTCACTCCAAGAATCTTGGATCTAGTCCTTCATTTATGACAGAGAGTGAAGGTCTAGATTCTACAGAGAAACATGGTGATCTTGGAGACATGACTTTTTACATGGCTAATTATATTAAAGATGCTATGAAAATGATGTTCATTATGCGTAGTCATCATATGCTCACTGATGTCATATTAGAAGTGGAATCAGAATTATTTTATGCACATAAAGTCATTTTAGCTGCTGCTAGTCCATACTTTAAGGTAATTCATTTTAAAAAGTATAAATATATATAATAAATTAAAATAAAAGTATAAATTAAAATATAAATATATATAATAAATATAAAATAATAAAACAAATAGAAAATTATATTGAATTATTATATATATTCTAGGCAATGTTTACTGGAGGTTTGAAAGAATCTGAAATGTCTAGAGTAAAACTTCAAGGTGTCAGTCCAACAACTATGGCACGCTTAATGTACTTTATGTATACTGGTCAAATAAGAGTTACAGAAATTACAGTATGCTCCCTTTTATCAGCAGCCACCATGTTTCAGGTATGCAGATATTTAAGTATCATTTTAACAAAAAATAAAATATATATCATATTATTTATTTATATTGATTATTTATTTGATATAGGTTAGTAATGTCATAGATGCGTGTTGTGTATTTTTGGAAAGACAATTAGATCCCACAAATGCTATTGGAATTGCTAATTTTGCTGAACAGCATGGTTGTCAAAATTTATATCAGAAAGCAAATCAGTTTATTGTTCAACATTTTAGTCAAATATGTCAGGAAGAAGAGTTCCTACAGTTATCTGCAATACAATTGATTGCACTTGTGAGAAAAGATGAATTAAATGTACAAGAAGAAAGAGAAGTATATAATGCAGTTTTAAAATGGGTTAAATACAATGAAGAAGCTAGAGGACCAAAAATGGAACATATATTACATGCAGTGAGATGTCAATATCTCACTCCTAACTTCCTTAGAGAACAAATGAAAAATTGTGATGTTTTGAAAAAAGTACCTGCATGTAGAGAATATCTTGCACAAATTTTTAAAGATTTGACTCTTCATAAAAAACCAGTGGTGAAAGAAAGAACTCCTAATACTCGTAGAGTAATATATATAGCTGGTGGTTTCTTAAAACATTCTTTAGATCTTTTAGAAGGATATAATGTAGATGAAAAAACTTGGACTCAACATGCTAAATTAATTGTTCCAAGGTCTGGATTAGGTGGAGCATTTTTAAAGGGTATGTTTTACGCTGTTGGTGGAAGAAATAATTCACCAGATAGTAGGTGAGATTTTTGTAGATATTGATTATTTATATTTTTATTTATATGAAAATATAAATTAAGACTAGACAAAAATTAAACAATATATAATAAATTTACAGATATGATAGTGATTGGGTTGATAGATACAATCCACTCACAGATCAATGGAGAGCTTGCAGTCCAATGTCTGTTTCAAGAAATCGAGTAGGAGTAGCTGTGATGGATGGGCTGCTATATGCTGTAGGAGGTAGTGCAGGTGTAGAATATCATAATAGTGTTGAATGCTATGATCCAGAACATGATTCTTGGACTAATGTAAAGTCAATGCATATCAAGAGACTGGGAGTTGGAGTAGCTGTAGTTAATAGGTAAAATTTAAAAATTAATTAGGAATTTAAAACTTAATATTAAATTATGTTATGTATATAAATTAAAATTATGACAGATTACTTTATGCCATTGGTGGATTTGATGGAACGAACCGATTAAATTCCGTAGAATGTTATCATCCTGAAAATGATGAATGGACAATGGTTTCATCTATGAAATGTAGTCGATCAGGAGCTGGAGTAGCCAATCTTGGACAATATATATATGTGGTGGGAGGATATGATGGAACTAGGCAATTAAATTCTGTAGAAAGATATGATACAGAAAGAGACATATGGGAACATGTTAGTAATGTCACTATTGCTCGTAGTGCACTTAGTGTTACTGTACTAGATGGAAAGCTATATGCAATGGGTAAGAAAAATAGAAAAATATTTTTACATAGCGAATTTTATTTGTATTTTTTAATAAATTTTTTATTTTTTAATAAATAATTTTAATAAATTTTATTAAATAAATTTGCTTGAATATTTTTAGGAGGGTATGATGGTGAACACTTTTTAAATATAGTAGAAATTTACGATCCTGCAAAAGATACATGGGAACAGGGAGTACCAATGACATCTGGAAGATCAGGTCATGCAAGTGCAGTATCATATCACCAATGTCCCATTCATTGCGACCATTTAGATCATAATATACCTTTAGAAAAATGACCATCGTGATATATATAATTGTTAGGCATTAATTTACATATTGGTATAAAATATTTAAATTGAGGAAAAAATTGTATAAAAAAAGCAAAGGAAAAGTAATAGAAACAGTTTTTAAAACTTTGAATGAATTACAGACTGATATAATTATATATTTTTGTGTTGTGGAATAAGCTCTTGAGATTGAACTTCATTAATATTTTATAACTTTTTTTCTGAAAAAACGAATGCCTTCGTTTGATTAGAAGCAGCATATAATGTGGTAAAATCATAAAGATCTTATTTATATATATGCGCGACACATTATGTATATATACATTATTTTTAAAGAAAATTTTTATAAAAACTTTTTATTTGTGAAAAACACTGTATATTTGTAATGTATTATTAAAGTAATATACTGATACATGCATATATACATGCATGTATATATATATATATATATATACATGTAAAATATCAACAAGTAATTTGTGCATTTTTTATTTTATCAATTAATAAATATCAATCAATTATGTCCTGCCTCTAATTATAAATTATATATTAAGAAATATTTAATTATGATATATAATTTTTTTGAAAGACTTAATTCAGAAAAATAAAAAATTTATATATATATATAGTAATTTTACATTTATTTTTTTTTTTAATTAGTATTCCATAAAATCTTAATTTAATCTTCATTTTCTTTCTAATAAAAAAAATGTTCACTAATTGATATATAACACGAAGTTATTTGTATTGCAATTATATTATAGTTTAAAAACATAATTAATATTTTTAAATCGTCTATAAATTATTTACTATAGTAATACTTTTAAAAAATATATGTGAGTGTCAAAAACTGGTTCTGGACCATACTAATCGATATTTACAAAAGTAGAGAAACGCGGATGGTTCAATCTTTAATATTTATTTTCATATTTTATAAAATAGCAATTATTATAATTTAACGATAATAAAAAATTCTTTAATAATTTTTTTATAAATTTTTATTTATATATCTTCACATATTTAAACTACAATATCTATTGATATGGTTATAGTGATTTTTTGATAGTGAGGTTATAAAAATGTAATGATTAAGAAATTATTATTTGAATGATAAATGAGACAAAAAACAATGAAAATGATAGATTTTTTTATGGTAATTTCCATTAATCATGATATAACAAAAATTCGACACAGTACTTAATAATTAAGAAAGTATAACACAATGAAATCTGTGTATAAATTGTTTTTTCTGTGCCTTATTTTTATTGCACTTATCATATTACTTAATTTAACAAATTTCTCCAATAAAATCTATGATGCACGTATTAAAGAAACTGTTGTTGTTTCTACTACTGTTAAAAAATTTCAAGCATCCTCTGTAACAGGAGAAGTCACAATTTGTGTGGTGGTTTGTGGAGATAGAGTAGATGAAGCATTAACTATGCTCAAATCTGCCCTAGTTTTTACACATAGATTTTTACAATTCATTATTCTAGCAGAAACTAACTTAATTCCTGCTTTTAATGAAAAGCTAGCTGAATGGAAATTTTTGTCAAACAAAACTTTTGATTTTATTGTTAAATCTATTACATTCCCTAAGGATAGTGATGCTGCAATGTGGAAAAAACTTTTTAAGCCTTGTGCAGCTCAGCGATTATTTCTTCCGGTAAATATATAAAATATATTAATTAATTAAGAAAAAACTATTAATGTGTATTAATATTTATATAATTTGTTTATTACAGTCAGTATTAAATAATATAGATGCAGTTCTCTATGTGGATACAGATACATTATTCTTGGCTCCACCAGAAAAAATTTGGGATGAGTTCAAGAAAATGAATTCCAGTCAATTAGCAGCTTTAAGTCCAGAACATGAAGATCCTAATACAGGATGGTATAACAGATTTGCTAAACATCCTTATTATGGGAAGTTGGGCGTAAATTCTGGAGTAATGTTGATGAATCTCACAAGAATGAGAGAGTTTAGATGGATAGAATATGTGATACCTATTCATAAGGAATACAAATTAAAGATAACATGGGGAGATCAAGATATAATAAACATTATATTCCATTATCATCCTGAAAAACTATATGTCTATTCTTGTAGATATAATTACAGACCTGATCATTGTATGTACATGCCTGTTTGTATAAAGGCAGAAAAAGAAGGTGCTTTGGTTATACATGGTTCCAGAAGTACTTTTCATTCTGAAAAACAGCCTCCTTTCAAAGCAATTTACAGAGCTATGCAAGAATATCAGTTAGGTACAGATACCTATGATTATTTATTAGTGCCAATGAGAAATTATTTAGCTCTGGAACATAAATCTAATTGTGGTAAAGTGTGGAAAGCATTTATTATTCAGCCTGAATTGCACTTAGGACAATAATAATATTTAAATGTTTTTTTAACATATAAAAAATAATTAATAATCTCTTTTGATCAATCATCAAAATAATTCATGTTTGACACACAATATGAATAATTTTATCCATACACAAAATGACTATGTTCCATAATATATTGATTTTATTGACAAATGTGCTGTGATTATTACTGTTTAATGTAAAAAGAAAAAATCGTATTATTAACTAGCATTGTTTTGACAATACTCTTTAAACATAGCTTTAGATAACATTTAAAAAATTTTTTTGTATATTTAAAATTCGATAGATTACTTTTATAAAAACTTTACTATTGTTAAGCAAAAGATATATTATTCGTAAAGTATTTAAAAAAATTTTTTATAACTGTATTGTCGCAAATACAAAAACGTTTTTTATATCTAATTATAATTATTC